AAGGGACTGTTGACTTAAAGTTTTACCGTTTACCACCACTTATGAACTGTCTGAAAAATACATTTATTTGGTATTCGCTTTGAGTTGCCATTAAAAATTAACAGTCATTGCCCAGTTAATATCTTGAGAATATTAATATTCTTATAGTAGAGCAATTAAATTAATTCCAATGATAAGACATTAATTTCATGTAAGCGAAAGGATGTACAATTTTTAATTAAGACACAGCTCTAATGCTTCGATTCTAATCTATTGTAAGGTCAATGAGTTTATTCAGTAATTACGCAATTTATTATCACCTACATTAAGTAAAATTGATTAAATTGAGTAAAATTCTGATATTTCATAGAAGATATTCGTTATAATTAAATTATCGATCGCTTATATTATGTACTTCTTTTTCGAGTAATAACATCTCAATCGTAATACGAACGTTAAACAACATGTGTTTTTATAGTATTAACTTTCATTTTCTAGTATTAATGAAAAAAAAAAAATAAATTAAATATATTAAAATAATTTACACTTTTTTTTTTACAAAACTCATATTTTTGTACAGAAATTGTAATCGATGCTTAATTTTAAATATATAAAAGACTTTTGCTATTGCTAGTAAAAAACATGTATATATGTAATTATTCGATATTCATTTAAATTTGCATGAAATGTATTCATAATCGATGAATCTGATGAGAATGTGCATACTAACTTTTAAGAACATATAGAAAGGAAATTAAAGCGTAGTCTATTATTTAGCACAATATTGTTTTTTACATTAACATTCTATCTAAAATAATACTTTTAATCATAATTATTGTACATATTTAATACATGGCTCAAGCTTTACATATATTAAAGGAATCGGTGAATAATAAAAATCGTATAATAAAATTAAAAGTATAGACGAGAGAGACAAGAAAGAGAAAAATAGAGAGACGACAGACTTGAACAGAATTGTAAATAGTTTATTATAATACTTAAATCTTTCTTCATTTATCTTATCTAACAATTAAATATATATTAAATACTAAAGCATCTGTCTAATTTCATAAACAGATGAAAAGAGATAAAAAAGAAAAATATCTTCTGCATCGAGCGGTAAGAGAAACAATCTTCATTTTCTCAAATACAATTGTGCATAACAACTTATATTATATTTAAAATTTATACCTCTCTTGATAAGTAGTTCCACTTTAAAATTCAAATAACACAGACTACCATATTAATGCATAAACCTACATAAACGCTATGCTAAACAAAGAAGAGTCGTGAAAACAAATTGTTTTCACATCGTTCTATGATAATAGATAGGCAGTACAATAGTATGCGACACAAAAAGCATGCTCAGATATCCAGATATTTAATTATCAACAGAAATGTCTGTATAATAATATAATTAAAAACTTTAGTTAAATAAAGCATGATGTTTAATTATCATATTGAAAGAGAAAATCTTATTAAAAGTCTAAATGTTTTTAAAGAAAATGGTCTATTTACAATTAATTACTCCCGCGCATTTCTTCCCTCGTTCTTTCTATCTTTTGCGCTGTCTTTTATTAGTTTCCTATATATCTCATTAATGAATTTCAACAGGAAGAGAAAGTACTATAGCAGTTTTATGAAAATATTTCATTATTATGTCCAATTATTTACATCTATTTACATCTACAGGAGATGAAGCAAATGAAGATACAAAAATATCGTTCAGTCCTTAGTTAATATATATATATATATATATATATATATATAATTAAATAATCGATTCAATTAAATACAGTAAATGATAGATTAGAAATTAATATGAAATGTGTGAAAATTGGTGCTTAAGTAGAAGTGAGTAAAATATTTGCTTTGTATTTGCTCAAAACATTCATCATTTATTTTCCAATTCGAATAAAAATTCCGATCAATTTGATATTAAAATAATGTGAAACAGTAAATTAAAGACTTGTCAAATTGATAAGTAATATTTATTTTGTAAAAGAAATCTGGTAAAAATCTCCGATATATAATACAAAAATAATGTAATAAACTAAATAAGCTAAAATTAATTAAAGCTAATATTTCGTAAAGCTATTTAAAGTTCCAACAAGTCATTTTAAACACATATTATCAAATACGTCGTAAAAAAAATTAATAATTAATGAGATTGAATTAAGAACCATTCGAAAATAAATGCTACTACTAGTTTTTGATAGTTCATGATTGCCAAGAATTGTTATCGTCTTAAAGTCACGTACATAATAAAATAAAAAATTGCCTGTCATGTAAAATGTGTTTGTAAAGTAATATTTATGAATTTCAATTCAAATTTAAAAGATCAAATTTGAAATAATACACTTGATGATCATTTGTACTGAATTAATTATTCTATAAATTCAACTTGTTATTAAAATTTTATTGAAACAATTTGGATGAAATTGAATTATTTCGATATGCTTCAATAAAATCTTATATTAAATAGTAATGAAAAACAAAATTAAATGTTCAAGAATTAATACATTTTTAGTCGTAAATTGCATTCCTTCATTTATAAATACAGTGTATTATTTTATAGTGTGAAAGGGCGGTGGGTGGGTAAGGGGGGGGGGGTGGTGGTGAGACAGCACGTGTGCACACTTGTCGTTCAAAACACTCTCGCACTCTCTTATCGCTGGGCCTTATACTTTAGCAGTTCGCACTCGTTGCAGTAGTGACTATTCCTCCACGACAATTTGACTTTGAATAATTCATGTCTCGGTTCGACTTTGCGATTGTTGCCATGAATACGAATATGCATGTGTACGTTCCCAATTCCTCCCATGCATGCGAATGTATCAAACATGCAAAAATGTCCATCAACCCAAAATGGTACGTCACATATCGAAAAATATTCCAACACATACACTGCATCTTCGGTATTATATGTGAAACTAGGTGTACCACATGTTATATACGATAAATCAATGAAAATGAAAAGGCGTGAACGGAAATACTAAGGATAATTTACGACAAGAGGTGAGTCTATGGTATAGTATATCTTCGGTGTATTCCATCGAAAATGAACAAGCCTTTCCAAGATTATGTAACATACTTGTTTACTCTCCTTCATGTAATGGAAGTTCTTTAATCGAACTACATGGCTAATATTTAGTAATATATAAGATCTTTAAAAAAAATTAAATATCCAATCCTGTATCTATTTACATCTCCAGTTTGGCAATTCCCTCTGCTAGATTCCCTATTTGTGCTCTCTCTCTCTCTCTCTCTCTCTCTCTTTCTCTCTCAAACTTCTGCCTTTCTCTTTATGTTTAAACACTTTTTTCACTAATAAGTATCGAAATATTTCTATAAGAAAAATTAATTAAATTATATATGTAGCAAAATACCAAATAATAAAGTATATTTATTATATAAAATACCAAGAATTCTTACAAGTTTATAATTTTATAAACATAATTTATTTAAGATTATTATTAAATAGTATGCACTTAAAATTAATCATATGAATCTAGCGTTTATTATGATTACGTAATTCGTTTACATAATCATTTAATGATATTAAAATTCAAGTATACATAAGTAAATTATTAGCTTACATTTATGCCTATCTGAAAAATCATCATTTAATTATTATCCTTTTTCATTCAATTCTATATATATATATATATATATATATATATATATATATATATATCATTATAAACAAAGTTCAAGATTGATTATTGAATATTCACTTACTATAAAAGTGATCTATAATTAATTGTTGCCTTTGCATCAATAAAGTAAATTTATTAAATTTGCTGTTTTTAATGAGATTTTTATAGCCATAATATAATACAGTTTTAAATGCTAATTGTCAAGGTACCGTAATGAAATATATTAAGATTTTGTATAGCATTTGTTCAAGATGACTTCATCAATGAACAGGACGGAAAATTGGTTATCCAAAAATAAGAAATTAGACAACCGAAACGAACAGGCATCGGAAGTAATTTCCTTACGAAAACCGCTGGTAAATTAGTTCCCATATACATAAAGAAGGTCGAAAAGTAGAATAGAAACCAAAACAAAATTCGAGTTTAAAATTAGTTCTCCGTAAATTTAACGAGATTGACTAAAGTTATTACCAAATTTGGATAATAAATCGAATAGCCAGAGTAGTTGTATTTATTGCTCGGATATATCGTCGGATCATTTCCTTGAAAATTCACATCTTGCTACGGTTTATGTAAGAATTTCCTTATATAAGACCAATAAACAATGTAACTTTATTTTCAATTCAATTCAAACAGCCTCAAATTTTTCAAATATTTCGCGATTGAAAATTAATGTAAAAGCGAAATATGCACGCGTGTGCGCGGCGCTTACGTGTGTCAGCGGCCGAGCGAGCGACGCGGTGGTGGCGGTCTAATGGGTGAGGGTAAGGGCGGGGGGGGGGCGACAATAAGCGCAAGAGGGACATAATGAATCCATAACACACGCATGCGCAATGAAGGAAGAAGCTAGTTTGCTAAAGCAGCCGCTGGCTCCGATTCGCTGACAGTATAGCGAGAGGTTAAGGTTCAGACTTTTCTTGAATTACAATAAACCACGTCGCCGCTAGATTTTCCGTACACGCGCGTATTATTCAACGTTTTATCATAATCCATTAATAGAACCTTTTGCCAATATCACCGCGCACAAGAGGCTGACACAAAGAGGCCGTGGAGGTTGGGAGGCCGATCGATCGATCGAAAGGAACTCCGTGCCGTACGAGCGAGCATGGAAATATGCCCGTAAATCGCACGTGGATGCCCCGTCAAAACGGCCGCGGGAGTCCTTTAACCAGATCGCCGACCCGACAAAGAAACGACCTCGCATCTCAGACGAAAGATAATTGCGGAAATAAAGGTGCGGCCGGGAGTCGGAGTCACGGAGCGAGAGCATGTAACGCGTCACGGTGACGCGGGCGAGCGGTCACAGTCGCAGCGGCAAAGGCGTGAACCTCCCAGGCGTTTATCGCACTTGACTGTACTCACGGCTTGTCGGGCTGAGACCTGCGCGCCATCCTCTCGGCTTTCTGAATTTCCTCGGCGCGGGTCGCGCTCTTGGTCCTTCTGAGGCGAACGCCCTCGTGCTCACCGCTGGCCGTCATCCCTCGTAGAGCCGAGTCTCCCACTGGATGCCTACCTGCGTATCCACGGGGCTTAAAGGGCGCCGGGCGACAGCAGCGTGGGGCTCCCGCGACTCCGTCTCTCAACTTCGGCGGCTCGCGAATCACCGGGGCCGCGGCGGACGGCCGGCCGTGCGCTCCTCAACACTCTGATACATGGGCCGCGTTCCCCCGGTTTGTAGGTTAGGTCTCTCTCCAATCTTTCTCTCTCTCTCTCTCTCTCTCTCTCTCACTCTCTCACTCTCAATCTCACTCTCACTCTCACTCTCGAGCGCCGTACACATACGCGCGCCCGGCCTGATATAATGCGCGCGCGACACTCGACGACCAGTCCCGCGAATTCCCACCGACTTTCTCAATTTCGAGATAGGGGCTGGCGGCTACGTTCGGCCCCGCTCTCCTAATTATTCGGCCTCACGATCGCCCCCAATCCTCGAAAATCGGACTGAGTCGTGGTCGCGTAAGCGCGCGTGTACCCACCCACCCCCCTCCCTCCCTCACCGATTTCATATTCTCCCAAGCTACGCACCGCAGATAACTACTTCAATTACCTACTCTGGCATGTTTCCGCGAATGCCG